AGTGGTTAAGTTCGTGCCTTCTGCTTCGGTGCCCAAGGGTTCACCCATTCAGATCCTGGGCGCAGACCTACTCACCGCTCATCAGGCCATGCTGAGGTGGTATCCCACACAGAAGAAATAGAAGGACCTACAAGTAGGATATACAACTATGTACCGGGGGCTTTGGGGAGAGAAAAAAAACAGGAAGATTGGCAACAGATGTTAGCTCAGGGCCAATATTCCTCCAAAAAAAAAAAAAAGAGGACCAAGAGTTTCACATACGAAAAGGTTGAGAAACCTAGGCCTAGTTCAAGTTTTTTTCACGAGGCCTCCCTGTTTTTGTATTAAATTATAAAAATCTTACAAGGATCAGATCCCACCATTCTGCATTGTCAGATCCTATCATTCTACCACATTTGCTTTATTTAAATGATACACTGTATGCTGCTGTCTGAAATTTTGCTCAACATAGTTCTTTTATATATATTCCTTTCAATACCTGTCTCTTATTCATTCCTTTTATCTGCCATATTACACTTATATTTGATTGCTTCCAATTTTTTTGCTATTACAAGCAACAGAACACTGAACGTTCTGAACACTTCCTAGGCATAGGGTTTTTACCCTAGAAATGAAACTACTAAGACGAAGTTTAAGCAATTGTTCAATGTCACACAGCTAATGAAAGTGGTAGAGTCAGGGAGCTAAACAAAGATAGCCCCCAAAGCCCATGTTCTTGAGCACTAAATGATAAAGGACATGGCATTGCCACTGATCAATCAATTTCTAAGCAATGCAGGCACTAGGCTTACTCCCTCCAAAATTTCATTACAGAATATATGACTTGGACATCTAAGTCTTAAACAGAAATGTAAAAGAATTTTGTTACTGTAAAAGAATATTAATCAGAGTTTGGTTAGCCAACTCTTCATTTTTTTTTTTGTTTGTGAGGAGGATCAGCCCTGAGCTAACATCTGCCAATCCTCCTCTTTTTGCTGAGGAAGACTGGCCCTGGGCTAACATCCATGCCCATCGTCCTCCACTTTATATGGGACGCCGCCACAGCATGGCTTGCCAAGCGGTATGTCGGTGCAGCCTGGGATCCGAACCGGCGAACCCCGGGCCGCCACAGTGGAGAGCGCGCACCCAACCGCTTGTGCCACCAGGCCGGCCCCTCAACTCTTCATTTTTTATATCCACTCAAGTTAAGGCAATACTACAAAATACATATATAGTCATGCATCACTTAACAACAGGTATACGTTCTAAGAAATGTGTCGTTAGGCGATTTCGTCATTGTGGGAACACCACAGAGTGTACTAACACAAACCTAGATGGTATAGCCTACTACACACCTACGCTATATGGTACTAATCTTATGAAACCACCGCCATATATGTAGCCCGACGTTATCGAAATGTCATTATGCAGTGCATGACTGTAATCTTAAGATTTTCCCAATTTTTCACACCATTGCCAGTTGTGAAAACAAAATACAGCCGTTCTTGAACAGACCACTAGTAATGAAAGAAAAAGAGAATAAGAGATAAAAGGTGTACATTTACCATTCGCTAATACGTACAAATTTATAGAATTTATAATTACACAGTGCTATCTAGGTCTCCTAAACTTTCTTTAAAAACCTACTGCCACTCCTACATGAAATTTTTTTTTTTGTGGATATGAGTGGCTATCCACACTACTTGATAATCAATAGTCTGAAAATAACCAGGTATATCACACCAGTTTCAGAATGTCTTTCATAAAAAGACAGCCTCAAGAATCTATTCTTGGGGCCGGCCTGGCAGCGCAAGTGGTTAAGTGCGCGCGCTCTGCAGCGGCTGCCTGGGATTCAGCAGTTCAGATCCCAGGCGCGCACCGACGCACCGCTTGTCGAGCCACGCTGTGGCGGCGTCCCATACAAAGTAGAGGAAGATGGGCATAGATGTTAGCTCAGGGCCAGTCTTCTTCAGAAAAAAGAGGAGGATTGGCATCAGATGTTAGCTCAGGGCTGGTCTTCCTCACACACACACACACACACACAAAAAAAAGAATCTCTTCTTAACAGCACTAAAAAGATTAATTAATGGACAAAGCAGTAAGAAAAATTTAATACTGTGTGAAGATAAATATAGTGGCTAAATTAATACTCATGGCAACTATCATTCTCAAATAAAGTAATGCTTGAATATACCATTACTGATTACATAGATTGTAAAGAGTGTGGAGTGTCCTCTAATGACTAAATGAAGGCTAAAGATGCCACCATGAAATATCACACCAGCTTTTCAAGAATTTCAGTACAGTACTAATTCTTTCTATTAATACATAAATGATCTAATTACATAAACCTAAATAAAATAATCACTTGGGTTTGGGTACTATCTAAGCTCACATTAACTTACTTTCAATGCCCCCCCACCGCCCCACCCCATTACCAGCCTCTCTGTTTCTCTTCATAGACAGTTAGTTATTTAGACTTAAGGTCTATGTAGTCACTCCCTTAGCACTCTTTAAACAACTGCAAGATGGCCTCTACCCTCTTCACTCCACTGAAAGAACCACAAGAACACCAGTAATTTCCTTACTGTTAAATCTACAAACCCTATTAAATACTTGATTCTCGGTAGCATTTTGGAAAGCTTACTTCTATACAACTTTTCCTCTCCTTATACCTTCCCGACTAACCACCTCTTCCTTTCTCAGGGCCCTGCCCTGGCACACGTGCTCTCTCTCCATCCCCTGAGCAAAGGCTGATCTCCCTACTTAAGGCAGCCATGGTCAGCCCTCAATTTCCAGTCCAGTTTTCACACTACAGACAAAAATTTTTTAAATAATATTGTTAAAAATATATTTTTGTTACACCAATAAACTAAATTGAAGGAAAATAAAATCCATAATCCAAAATTATGATACTTAGTAATTTGATGCACATTCTAAAATATAAACCTAACTGGTAACTCCTGATATAAAATTCCTCAATGGCTGTGCTTTTTCCTCAGGACAAAAGATAAATCCAAACTCTTTAACAGTGTTTTATAAACTTCGACTAACTCTCAACTCCCTATCCAACTTCACTTCTTGAAATTCTTTATACTAACTTTACTCAATTGCCATACCTTGTTCCATCCCTTATTTTCCAAGCCCTATGTATACATAGTTTTCCCTATGAAATGCTTACTCCCTAGCTTCCCTTCCATTTACCCCCACCTCTCACCGACATTGCCAGAATGTCTGTCTAGTCAATTCTTACCGTAGCTGTTGACAGCCCAAAATCTCTTTCATCCCAGAATAATTTATCTAAACCAACTGTGGCAATCTCATTCATCTTGCCAGTTACTGAGTAAGGAATGAGCAAGTGACTCAATTCCAACAAACGAGACAAGAGGCCGAGTCTGTTGGACAGCTTCCAGAAGAAAAAGGTTTCTAGTTTCTACATTGCATAAGAAATACATAAAACACAAGAAGAAACTACCTTCTCCTCTTCCTTTGGGTGATATTCTGAAATGCTCAAAACTGCTGTACACATTTTGCTACCACTGTCAAGACCACAAATTTCCTTATTTTCTAAGCCATTTAAAGTCAGATTTCTGTTGCTTGTAGCCAAAAGCCTACTAACTAACACAGCTACTAACTCTTTAGTTCCCACTTTAGACATCTCTTCCTCTGGGAAAAATTCCCTGACACATTCAAAACCTGCCATGCTCCCAATGAGTTCTCATAATACCACATGCCCACCTCTATCATGGCTGTCCTCAAAGTGAATTAAATGACTATGCAATGATCTGTTTTGCCAACTAAAGTGTAAACTCTTTAGGAGCAGTGACTATTAGCTAATTCAAGGTCATGTTCCCAGCATCTAGCTTAAGAATGCTCAAAAAACAGTTGAGACCTACATGAATGAGTAGTGTAAATGCCAGTGTAATGCTATATTTTTATTTTTGCAATCATCCTAAGTAGGAAGTTGCCAAAAGGGATGGCCTAGACTCAATAAATCTTAAATCTCTTTTTTGAGGGCTTTAAAAACAATTTTATAACTTCCAGCACATGAATTTTAGAAAAGGTTGTTAATAAAAAGGAATCATATCCAGGTAATTTTGGATGATTATTATAATGTCTGTCAGTTGCATTAAGGCTTCATTACTCACAGGATGTTCAAAGTACATGTGGCACTAAGGTTAAACTATAGCCCAGGTGCCGCCAATGCTCTCATCAGGAAGGGACAGTATGGAAGTGGCTGCCAGTTGTCTCATCAGCAAGTCCACACTCCAGAGGAGATGCCACAAATGCTTCTGCTATCCACCTCTCAGATCAACAGCCAGCACTTTTTAAATGTATACTGAAGGCCAGCACAAGGTTTTCACTGGTGGAAAGAACAGCCTGTTTTGTTTGGTTTTTTTGAGGAAGATCGGCCCTGTGCTAACATCTGTTGCCCATCTTCCTCCCTTTTTCCTCCCAAAGCCCCAATAGGTAGTTGTATGTCATAGCTGTACATCCTTCTAGTTGCTGTATGTGGGACACCGCTTCAACCTTGTTGAAGCTCATCATGGCTTGATGAGCTGTGTGTAGGTCTGCGCCCAGGATCTGAACTGGCGAACCCCAGGCCACCGTAGCAGAACGCAGGAACTTCACTGCTATGCCACCAGGCTGACCCCCTAAAAATGGCCTGTTAATTAATTAGTATGAGTATTAAAAAATGCTTCTCTTTGGTGAAGCTGAAGGTACATTATATATATATGGACCAGTTAACAATATTTAGAGATACTTGCCACCTGTGCATGAAAAATGTAAGAATTCTGTGAGGTCCTTACAGATGGAGCTCAAGCCTGGATGTCTAACCAATCCTCTATATAGACACCAGTTTAGAAGAATTTCTCTCATTATCTCATATCAACTGTTAAGAAAAAAAGATTCTGTCACTGGAATGTCGCCATGTCTCCCCTGAGTAAACCTTCATGCAACGTGTTTTGATTGAAAAACCTAGAAGAATAAACCTGAACTTCATCAGGCTCATAAATCAGGTTGTATGTACGGTTTTGTGTGCAAAATTTGATAAGAAACTTGCTTTCAAATAATATTAAGGTCGTGGGGGAATACCTCTAGGATGATTTTCAATGGCTACTGTTATCCACCAAACTAACACTGTGGAATGACCAAACTTGAGTTATTTTAGTTTGCGACAATTACCAACGAGAACATACCACTGGGAAATATATCAGCAAAAATTTCGATTGGCAAGAGTCGTGACAAAACATAAATCACCTTTTCAGACTATAGAGAACCCAAAAATCCATACTACAGCTCAACTCTGTATGCCATATACCAGTTTGCTCTGGTATAGAAGTAGCTCTGAACTTTCTCTTCCATCAGGTGTTTTATGGGAGGGAAAGGAGTTACCATCTTAGAACACCTAAAACTACTTGACCCTCACAAAAAAAAATGTTTGCTGTATCCAAACCCTTGCCTGTTTAGTACCATCAAGGACCACAGTTGACTGAGGAAGTGCAGTCTCCAGGAAACTCACATCTAGATCTGTCCCTGCTGTCCCTCAGTTGTGTGGCTTTGAGAAGATCGTTGCCTTTTTTCCAATACTTTAACTTCTATAAAAAGTATGGAACTTGAACCAGTCACTAACATCAGGTAGTCACGATCCATTTTATAGAACATTAAATATTCATAAGTTTGTCTGGAAACGCTCAGAGCAGAAAATAAGACTGTGGTCTTTGCATCTAGAAATGTATTACATAAAATATTTAAGAAATTCTATCTCTCTTTTCCTACTGCTCTTTGATACCACTACATTCTATCTTTACATCAGTTAACAGTGATTAATTAAACGTGATTAACTGTAACAATCACTTTTATAACCAGGAAAAGATGACCAATAGTTCATTTTAGGGTGAGAACACCTTGATTCTGACCAATATTCTGTGGGGACCCAATTAGAGAATCACTAAAATTGATGATCTTGACAGTTCTTTCCAGCCTGCTTAAGACACTGATATGTACACTATGCTCTGTATGAAAATCTCCCAGATACAATACTATGCTTTAATTAAACTGATAAAGTGTTAAGAATGGTAAAACCTTATCTTTAAAATTATAATGTTCCCTTTGGGGTCAAGACAGAGTAAGCACAAGGAAAGGCAGGAGGGAGAAACTTTTCAATAAAGAATTTTCTTCTCCCTCCATTCTGCCAAAACGAATCCAATTTCTGGGATACAAGTGAAAAATATATTTATGTATAACCTTGCCTAAAAGATGCTTTTCTGTAATAAATTTATTCCAGGTATCAAGAATATCTAAATTTCTGAAACTATTACATATTTAAGAAAGCAATAAGTTTTAGACACGAGTTTCAAGCAGAACACAAAAATCCTAGATGTGATCATTCAGTACAAACGATACTAAACACAGCCATTCACCTGCTCTTTAAAAAATAATTTCACTTCAGTTTGCCAAAATAGTTTACATTTCAATTAATTAAAAGAGCTCCACTTTGATATCCGTTCCAATATACTTACTAAAGTGTATCTGGAGGACCAATAATAAGGACTTCCCATCGGTAGAGATCATTATCATCTATTAAACCTGCCGAAAAGCCTTCCACTGGATTTTTGTTGAGTTCTGTGGAAAAAGAAAAATTTGATCAAAACTTTTAAGCACATAATTTTCACCCAACAAATAAATTACAGAACTTGAATATACATGTTATAAATTCTAAACTATTGGGCCGGCCCCGTGGCTTGGCGGTTGAGTGCGCGCGCTCCGCTGCTGGCGGCCCAGGTTCGGATCCCGGGCGCGCACCGACGCGCCGCTTCTCCGGCCATGCTGAGGCCGCGTCCCACATACAGCAACTAGAGGGATGTGCAACTATGACGTACAACTATCTACTGGGGCTTTGGGGGGGGGGAAATAAATAACTAAATAAAATTTAAAAATAAATAAATAAATAAATAAATTCTAAACTATTAAATGGATATACCTGAATCCATTAGCAAAATGCTACCTGATGGCCAAAACAATTTCTACAACACAAGGAAGCAATGGGTAAAGCAAACTATCCAGATCTTACTCTACCTTTGGTTTCCAGCTTGGTTTTTACCATTATAGGTTGCCCTGTAGTAGTATAAGGAGCTTGTTAAAATGCAGATATTCAAGCCCATCCCCCCGAGATTCTGGTTCAGAGGGAAATCAGACCAGTACTTCTGGTCATTCTTATCTCCTTTAGGGTACACTTGCAGAAACAATGGAGTACCTAATACCTTTTCATTGGAATTTGCTGAGCTTAACCAACCTTCGTTTACACTAATATCTGTATATCTATTTGACAAGTCCTCTATAATCTTTGGGATACACATCTACGGTTGGTGTTCATGTGTGGCCCATGAGACTCAGCACACCGAGAGGAGAGGCTCCATCTGTCCTGCCTGTGTGCGTTGATCTCTCTGCTGGCCAGATTCCAGAACACAGGAATGACTTAAGAACAACAGCTGGACTCTACAGGAACGGCAGTAGCATCATGAGATTTTTCTCTTCCAGGCAGAGTGCTGTGGTATGCATGATGGAGGCTGGGGACAAGAACAGAGGCAAAGGGCTAGTGAGGTGGGGGGACAGAGGCCAAGAGGGGACCTCAGAGGAGCAGGTGAGGAGGAGTACAAGGTCTGAATGGTTTCTGGAGACACAGGGCTTAAGAAAGTAATGACCTATTGATAGTGGGTATCATGTAAAAATTTTTTTAAATAGCTTTAATGAAGTATGATTGACATTCAGTGAACTGTACATATTTAAATTATATAATTTGATACATACTGATATATGTATACACCTGTGAAGCCATTACCACAATCATGATAGTGAAAAACACACACACACATATATATATGAATCGCCAACAGGGAGCTCAAATGGGGAGCACTAATTGGTTCAAACTGAGAAGTGGGGACAAAGCACGCGCAAGAAGGGAGCAGTCAGAAACGACTTGCTAGGACTTTGAACAGGTTTGTAATTCTCATATAATTCCTGCCATCATCCTCAAAGAGCTCAGTCTAATGATAAAAGTAAGTGTAATACAACTCAGAGTGCTGTAAAAGACTGAACAAAGTGTGTTAGTAACTGAGAAGATATTAATTTTTTAAAGAATCAGAGGTGGTGTCATTTCAACAACTAGGATTTAACACCCTAAAACGCCAGTGAAACACAGAAAGAGCCAAAAGTGCAAGTTTATTTATATTTAAACATGAATGGCTTCTTTTCTCAAAATTTGAGGGGAGATTTTTTTAAGTCTAATATTTCTAACAGGCAAAGTAGACTTTTATAAATACTTTTAAATCAGCACTGTATTTCAAAACACAAGAAACGCATTTTTACTTTTAAATAGCTATTCTAAGATATAAAAAAAAGATACTGAGAATGCAAAGACATTAAGGTACGAATTGCATTTTAATCTTGTTGTTTTGTTTATGCATGTAAATATTTACTGAGTGCCAACTACGTTGCAGACATACTAGAAAAGAGCTGAAAGTTCCACTTTTACTGTCAATTGAGGGATAGGGTAGAGCACAGACAACTGCAATATGAGCAGTTATTTTCTACACTGAGTTATCTCATTTCCAACCTTTTTCTAAATGAACACTAATTTTTTTTTTTTTTTTGAGGAAGATCAGCCCTGAGCTAACATCTATTGCCAATCCTCCTCCTTTTTTTCCCTTTTTCTCCCCAAGGCGCCCGTAGATAGCTGTATGTCATAGTTGCACAACCTTCTAGTTGCTCTATGTGGGACGCCGCCTCAGCATGGCCAGACAAGCGGTGCATCGCTGTGCGCCTGGGATCCGAACCCGGGCCACCAGTAGCGGAGCTTGTGCACTTAACCACTAAGCCATGGGGTCGGGCCCCTAAATGAACACTATTATATTACTCAGATCATGTTCTCCAACACTGTATACGAGAGTCTTATGGAAGATTCTATAATTTACCCAGAAATCACCTAGTTGTTGCATTTTCCATCAGAAGTCCAGTGGAGTTTCATAAATGTAGTTAGGAAGGCTGTGAAATTAGCACGTGTGGTCAAAATTACCCTTGAAAACTTCCTTACACTTCCCATAAAGTACAACCTTGCTTCTCACTTTTGTCAATACACCATAAGTTCTTAAAATCTTTTGCACATTCTTTCCATGCTTTCCTTCTACAGGATTGACTATGTCCAACGCTTGCTTCATTTAACTAACGCAAAAGCAATGTTGAGGGAATGTTCAACATCTCACTATTGTCATGGCTTTTGCCCCTAGCATGGATCCTCATAGGTCTAGAAATCCATGGGTATTTAACAGGTTTAATCTACCTGTGGTGGCAGATGATTACCATACCTTCATGAATGCTTCCTTCAAAGTCCAGTTCAAGCACTATCTTCCTCCATGAGGCCTTCCCTGAATAATTTACCAAATAATCTTCTTTTGACTTCTGCTAAATTCCTATTAATTATACTTTTAGTCTGTACTATACCACCTGGCACTTGAATATCATCTCCTGATTCCCACAGAAATAAACAGGCAATTACAATGTATAGTAAATGCTCCAACATTAGTACAGCAATTTGGAAGAGCACAAAAGAAGGACACATTATAATCATGAAGAGACAGAAAAGGTTTCTAAAAAGAGAGGAGACGTCTGAAATAAGACAAAAGATTTGGGTGGGAGAGGTGCAAGGTTTAGACAGAGGAGCATATACAAAAAGTTGAAATACAGAGATGAGTATATGGCTAGAACCAAAGGGGGGCGGCATGCAGTTGAAACTAGAGAGAATGTCAGAAGCTGGACAGCAAAGAGCCTTTGTAAGCCATGTAAGTTTGGACTTCATCCAGAGGGCAATGATGAGCCTTTGAAGGGCTTGTGTTTTGTTTTGTTTTGTTTTGTTTTGTTTTTAAAACAATGAGATGACCTCATGAGATTTACATTTTTAAAAACCAATCTTGCAGTGTGTGAGAGATGACATAGAATAAGGCCATGGGGATGACAAAGAAACCAAAAAGGAAGCTATTAAAGTAATCCTGAAAAGTGTACCCTTAGTATATGGTAGTGAAAATAATGATGGAAAACAGGAATATTTAGGAGACAGAATCAATCAACCAAAAGCTTGGTGATGTGGGGGTTAAAATAATAAGTCAAAAAATGACACACAATTCTTCAAAAAGCAAAATATACAGTACCATATAACTCAGCAATTCCACTCCTACGTATATACCCAAAAGAAATGAAAACATCTGTCCACATAGGAAGTTGTACACAAATGTTCATGTAGCAGCATGACTCACAATAGTCAAAAGGTGGAAACAACCCAAATGTCCATCAACGAATGAACGGATAAATTATGGTATATACATACAATGGAATATTATTCAGCCATAAAAAGGAATGAAGTACTGATATATGCTACAACTAAGATGAACCTCAAAAACATCAAGCTAAGTGAAAGAAATCAGACACGTATGGTCACATACTGTACGACTCCTTTTATATGATATATCCAGGAAAGGCAAATCCAGAGACAGAAAGTGGAAAAGAGATTACCAATGGATAGGGGAAGGGGGAAATGGGATATGATTACTTAATGGGTATGGGGGTGTTTTACGGGGTGATCACAAAGTTTTGAAACTAAAGATTCAAATGATGTGGTTGCACAACATTGTGAATACACTAAATACCACTGAACTGTACACTTTAAAAAGGCTTGTTGTTCCGCATACTCAAGTCGACTCCGACTCCTGGAGCCCTATGGATGAGTGATATCCACAACGTCCCGTCCTCAAGAGCCCTATTCAGCTTCTGTAGACTCACGCCTATGGCTTTCTTTACGGAGTCAATCCATCCTCATATTTGGTCTTCCCTTTTTCCTGCTGCCTTCTACTTTTCCCAGCGTTATCGTCTTCCTGCCTTCTCATGATGTGCCCAAAGTGGGACAGTCTCAATTTTATCATTTTTGCCTCCAACGACAGTTTAGGCTTAATTTGCTCTAGGATCCAGTTGTTTGTCTTTCTGGCAGTCCAGGGTATCCGTAGAGCTCTCCTCCAACATCATATTTCAAATGAATCAAGTTTTCCCCCATCAACCTTCTTCACCGCCCAGCTGTCACACCTGTATATAATAACTGGGAATACAAGGGTGTGGATAATCTTGCCTTAGTCTCTAATGACACTTCCTTATACTTGATGATCTTTCCTAATTCTTTCATTCTATGTTATTTGAATTTTACCTCAATTTTTTAAAATGACAAACAGGTTTCTGTGCAGAGCAATTGGATAAGAGTCTATTTATTCTCCGAAATGGGAAATACAAGAAGATGTGCTGATTTGAGGGGTGAGGGGAAGAAATGATGATACATTTAGTTTTAAATGCCTAACAGGCATAAATACATTGTTTTAAAAGGCAATCTGAGGGCCGGCCCCGTGGCTTAGCGGTTAAGTGCGTGCGCTCCGATGCAGGCGGCCTGGGTTCAGATCCCGGGCGCGCACAGACACACTGCTTCTCCGGCTATGCTGAGGCCGCGTCCCACATACAGCAACTAGAAAATGTGCAACTATGACATACAACTATCTACTGGGGCTTTGGGGGAAAATAAATAAATAAATAAAATTAAAAAAAAAAAAAAGGAAATCTGAGCTAAAGATAGAGACTTGGGGGTTATCAGAATACTGTTGATAACTGAAGTCTTAAGATGGATGGCATCATCCAAGGATGAGCGTAAGTGTAAACTATAGAGGATCTAACTGAATTAACTCTAGCGAATACCAATATTTGGGGGATAAAAATAGAAAAGGCTACAAAAGTGACCAAGAAGGGTAAGACAGAGAAGAAAGAAGAAAACCGTGGGGGCCGGCCTGGTGGCACAAGCGGTTAAGTGCACGCGCTCCACTGCGGCGGCCCGGGGTTCACGGGTTTGGATCCCGGGCGCGCACCGACAC